GCTGCGCAGGAGCAGCGGCGGCTCGTGGGGGGCCTCGGGCTAGTGGCTCGCTTCCGGGATGGGGGTCACGCGCGCGGCGTGACCTTTGCGTCAGGACGTACGTGTGCGTGAGGTGCAGCTAGAAATCCCTTCCCCTCCCCACAGCGCCCCCTAGTGGTCAAGGGCCCTCCCCTCCCACAGCTCCTCTTCCCACTCAGGGGCTGTATGGGGAGCCCCCCACAGCGCCCCCTAGTGGTCAAGGGGGCCCCCACAGCTCCTCCTGCTCCTCAGGGGCTGTATGAGGGGAGCCCCCCACACCTCCCCCTAGTGTTCAAGGAGCCCCCCCACAGCTCCCCCTGCTCCTCAGGGGCTGTATGAGGGGAGCCCCCCACACCTCCCCCTAGTGTTCAAGGAGCCCCCCCACAGCTCCCCCTGCTCCTCAGGGGCTGTATGAGGGGAGCCCCCCACAGCTCCCCTTAGTGTTCAAGGGCTCCCCCCACAGCTCCTCCTCAGGATCCGTATGAGGGGAGCCCCCCACAATTCCCCCTAGTGTTCCAAGGGGACCCCCACAGCTTTCCCTCCCTCTCAAGCACTGTATGAAGGGAGCCCCCCATAGTTCCCCCTCAGTGCTCCAATGGGAACCCACACAGCTCCCCTTCACCCTGTGACCCAAGGGGACTCCTACTGCTCCCTTTCCCCCTCAGGGAGTGTATGAGGGGAGCCTCCCGCACAGCTCCCCCCCCCCTCAGGGGCTGTATAGAGGAGCCCTTCCACAGCTCCCCTTAGTGTTCCAAGGGGACCCCTACAGTTCCCCCTCCCCCTTGGAGTCTGTATGAGGGGAGCCCCTTCACAGCTCGCCCTCAGTGTTCCAAGGGGAGCTCCCCCTCTGGGACTCTGAGGGGAGCCCCTACAGCTCCCTTTCATGTGGCCCAGTGGGGAACCATTCAAATTCATGTGACCCCTTAGCTATACGGATAATATAAGCACTCCCATCCCCCTAGCAATAAATTTCTTCAGGGATAAGCCTGTAGGGGAAGGGGATTAATGTTACCAAAAGGGCTCTGGGGTAACAACATGGGCAGAGAAATCTTTATGAAGTTCTCTGGGAGTCGAACATACATGTATATAGCTAAATCAAAGACAGATTGGCTGACTAGAGTACAGGATGAGCCTAGTAGACTGGACTAAAATCAAAGCAGCTCTTTCCTACTTTGTAGAAGGTCCAGTGCACAGGCTGGTCCAACTTCAAGCTTCTTTCCCAGCACAAATCACCAAGACAAAAGTTCCCCAGGTCTCAGAGAGTAATTTCTCAGAAGAAAAATACTAGAGTTGAGGCTTTTTCAAGAAAATGATTGCTTCACTTTTTTCTCAGTTTACAATAATCCTCAAAGTTGCTTATAAATCAGACAAGCAGACATGTTGCCAGCACAGAGAGTCAGACCAGCTGAAATGCTGCCTTTTTCCACTTGTCTTCCAGATTTGCTAAAAAACAAGGCCTCCTTTAGCCCTCTTTTCCCTTAATACTATAAATCCAAGAACTAAAAGTAATAGACATTTTCATCCGTTTCACACAAAAGAATGGGAAAGCTGGAAAGGTCAGAGTCCTGCCCGGAATCAAATGTGAAATTCTGAGGTACCTCGGGGGCGGTGGGGGGGAGGGGAAGAAGACTGTTTAATAGGTGATTTGGGGAGTAAGTGCCCCCCTGCAGCAGACCATAAGAAGGAAAGAAGTCTTCATCCTCTTTTGCTACTGGCCTGACAATCATAAAAAGAACTTCAGTTTTAAAAAGTTATACATCTGTCATCGGGGCAGCACACCCATCTCCCTTCAGGGGGTGGGCAAAGTGTCTCTGAGACCCCTCAAATGGTGCTCAACCCCACGTGCATACCAGTTTAAGGAGGAGGATGCTATGCCTCCCCTTCTTACAACTGCAGCTCATCCAGGACGTATCCAGGACCAAACCACATCCAGCCCAGGGTCTCTAACAATGCCCAGGGCAGTGTGGCCTAGCCGTTAGAGTCAATAGCAGTGGGGTATAGTTCTGCTGTTGAGGATGGGGGGGAGACCCAGGCCCACCCTTTCCACCAGATCCCAGCCCAGGGCCTTGTCAGCAGTGGAGTGGTCCACCACTAGCTCGGCGAGAAATCCCACTGAAACTCCTCTCCATGGGCTACTTCCTACCAGTCTCTCCATTGCAGTCTTCCCCAGCTCTTCTCTCCAGACTGGAGGCTTTTTCCTGCATTCCCCACTGGCTGGCCTCCATGTCTTGCTCCATCTGTGGTTCCTCCTTGGGGACTCCAGCAGCACCTCCTTCCTTGAGGGCTGTCAATCCAGACTGAGCTGCTCCACACGCCTTTACACCTGGTCTCTAGCTGGAGCAGAGCTGGAGTGGGGTCTCTTCAGCCAGGTAGACAGGGTTAAATCTCGCAGCCCCAGTACAGGGTTGGTACCACCCCATCACAAGATCTCTAGGTAGTTTTGCAAGGCCTTTTGAATGGATTTTTTAATATGTTCAAAATGTCTCCTCGTATTTTTGATGTGGACGGTGTCATTTAAAAAATGTGCATGACTCCTACAGATAATAGAGAAGAGAAAGCAAGGTGAAGTCCTGCCCATGTTCAGTGAGGTGCCTTTTTATATAAACAATATCCATACGAACCATTACCATGTATAGATGCATAAGTAAATATTAACCAGTGGTCCAGTGACCTGGAAAAAACATCGCAAGGTGATGATCTGGTGACCTTGTACAAATGGGTGAACTTTTGCTGTAGGAAAAATTCGCATTTCCTTTCTTATAGAAAAAATACTGCAAGTTCCTGGTTGAAATGTAACTTAGAGGTAAATCAGTAAACTTACACTGAATGTTGCTCCTGTGTGTGTGCAGGAAAGCGATATGAATAATGAAGAATTAATCAGCACATCCTGGTGGGGCAGTGATCTTATTCTGTTAAAGAGGCAAGGAGTCCTGTGGCACCTTATAGACTAACCGAAGCGTGGGAGCATAAGGTTTCGTGGGCAAAGACCCACTTCAGATGACGAAGTGGGTCTTTGCCCATGAAAGCTTATGCTCCCACGCTTCGGTTAGTCTATAAGGTGCCACAGGACTCCTTGCTGCTTTTGCAGATTCAGACTAACACGGCTACCCCTCTGATACTTATTTTGTTAAAATCTCAAATGTCTGTGTTGCTCTTCTGTTTGTTAAATGAGTATTAAATAGGGATGTAAATGAGTAATTGTTTATTCGCCCCCCCCCCCCCCCCTTCTCTTTGCCATGCTTCTGGCAGGGGGCTGCTGTGGTCGAGCCAGGCCCACCACAGTGCAACATGGGTTGGGGGAACTCCAGCCCCACCTGGCTGGAGCAGCTCCCCACTCATAATGCAATAGGACGGGCTGGTTATCCAGTTAAACATACAGCGTCCAGGCTGCCGTGTCAAGCGGCACATGCACTGATGGGCTCTGCCATCCCAGTAGGGTGGCTGCCACCTTGGATCAGAGCTCTGTACATGCTGGAGCCTGTCATGTCGCCAAGGCTGGCGGGGGGTAGTGGTGAATGTTGGGAGCTTCCCAGAGCTGAGATGCACCAGTGCATGCTGGGACCAGGCATGCCCCAGAGTTGGGGTGCATGCTGAGAGCAGGGATGCAGTGGTGCATGCTGGGACTTAGCAGGTCCCAGAGTTGGGGTGCAGCGGTGCATGCTGAGAGCAGGGATGCAGCGGTGCATGCTGGGACTTAGCAGGTCCCAGAGTTGGGGTGCAGCGGTGCATGCTGAGAGCAGGGATGCAGCGGTGCATGCTGGGACTTAGCAGGTCCCAGAGTTGGGGTGCAGCGGTGCATGCTGAGAGCAGGGATGCAGCGGTGCATGCTGGGACTTAGCAGGTCCCAGAGTTGGGGTGCAGCGGTGCATGCTGAGAGCAGGGATGCAGCGGTGCATGCTGGGACTTAGCAGGTCCCAGAGTTGGGGTGCAGCGGTGCATGCTGAGAGCAGGGATGCAGCGGTGCATGCTGGGACTTAGCAGGTCCCAGAGTTGGGGTGCAGCGGTGCATGCTGAGAGCAGGGATGCAGCGGTGCATGCTGGGACTTAGCAGGTCCCAGAGTTGGGGTGCAGCGGTGCATGCTGAGAGCAGGGATGCAGCGGTGCATGCTGGGACTTAGCAGGTCCCAGAGTTGGGGTGCAGCGGTGCATGCTGAGAGCAGGGATGCAGCGGTGCATGCTGGGACTTAGCAGGTCCCAGAGTTGGGGTGCAGCGGTGCATGCTGAGAGCAGGGATGCAGCGGTGCATGCTGGGACTTAGCAGGTCCCAGAGTTGGGGTGCAGCGGTGCATGCTGAGAGCAGGGATGCAGCGGTGCATGCTGGGACTTAGCAGGTCCCAGAGTTGGGGTGCAGCGGTGCATGCTGAGAGCAGGGATGCAGCGGTGCATGCTGGGACTTAGCAGGTCCCAGAGTTGGGGTGCAGCGGTGCATGCTGAGAGCAGGGATGCAGCGGTGCATGCTGGGACTTAGCAGGTCCCAGAGTTGGGGTGCAGCGGTGCATGCTGAGAGCAGGGATGCAGCGGTGCATGCTGGGACTTAGCAGGTCCCAGAGTTGGGGTGCAGCGGTGCATGCTGAGAGCAGGGATGCAGCGGTGCATGCTGGGACTTAGCAGGTCCCAGAGTTGGGGTGCAGCGGTGCATGCTGAGAGCAGGGATGCAGCGGTGCATGCTGGGACTTAGCAGGTCCCAGAGTTGGGGTGCAGCGGTGCATGCTGAGAGCAGGGATGCAGCGGTGCATGCTGGGACTTAGCAGGTCCCAGAGTTGGGGTGCAGCGGTGCATGCTGAGAGCAGGGATGCAGCGGTGCATGCTGGGACTTAGCAGGTCCCAGAGTTGGGGTGGCCAAGGTCTAGGGGGGAGCGGGGCCCTCCCACTGCTGGGGCTGGGCTCTGTGGGTTCATGTGCCCCACAGTGTACTGGCCCCTTCTCTCGCTGCTTCCCTGCCCCCGGCTGGGAGCCACGAGCCTGTGGCCCAGGGGTGTCAGGCCGTGGTCGGTCCCTGCCTGGCAGTGCCAAATTGAAATGAGTGTGGAGGCGGTGGGCCTCCCAGAGCTCTTCTGTCTCCTTGGCTAGCCCGGGTCAAGGGACGGCCCTGTTGCGATATGGGTGTGAGGGGTGGGTAATGCGGCACCGGTGAAAGGCAGGGATGCCTGTTGCACTGGGTACAGCAGACTGGTTCTTTCCCCAGCCGTCTGGGGCTGAGTGCACCACAGAACCATAGCTCCAGGGTGGGAAAAGTGGGGGGGGAGCACTCATGAGTTGTGTAAGGTGCTGTGGCCTCTGCTGGAAAGACTGTGAGGAGCGGGATGGTTCTAAAGGGTGTTGAAAGTGGGGGGGCATCACTTACTACTCCCTGGGTTTGGGGGCAGCTGAAGAGTTCCAGGTCCCATCTTGCCCTCACCTTTTTACTGGCAAGCTCCTGTTAAGGCAGGTGTTGATGGCCTGAAGCCTTTTTTCTGTGGGTGGCGCCTGCTGGGAGGCAGGGTCTGAAAAGGGCAACTGCTGGAGGGGATGATACTGGTGCTTCTGCTTGGGCTTGTTAGCTGGGTCACAGCTCCTACGGGTGCCTACATGGATGCTTTGTGTCGCTCGCTAATTGAAGGATGTACCAGGGAAAATGTGACACATTTCCTGAAATGCTGTCATGCAAACCCCAGCAGTTTTGTGAGTGGTGTGGGGCTGACCGAATCAAGTTGCCTTTTGGAAGACAGGAGGGCTCATGTTTCTGGATGGGCTTTGCCTGGGCGGTGCCCATCCATGGTGTGTTCTTGGCTGGGGTCTTTACTTTGAATGCCCCTTTGGCAGCTGGCTTGTGGCTGGCAGGGGGGTTTGGTCAGGAAAGTGAGAGTGGGTCGATAGGGTGCTGTCTGTTAAAGGGCTTGTATGTTTATCCCTCCAGCCCTGGGGAGGGCCTGACCTATGATTAGAACCCATGACCCCATCCTTCCCAGGCGAGTGCCCTATCCCCTAGGCCATGCAGGAACCTGCCCCACCACCTTACTGTCAGGGCGCCCTTTATCCCTCCAGCCCCAGGACGGACTGGTTTTGACCCACCCAACCTGGGATTAGAACCCACAACCCCATCCTTCCCAGGCAAGCGCCCTAGGCCACGCGGGAACCTGCCCCACCACCTTACCATCTGAGCACCCTTTATCCCTCCAGCCATGGTGCCTACAGCCTCTGGCTTGCTGCTTGTTTAGGGAGCTGATGCCAAGTGTCCCAGCTGGGGGTGTGTGTTTCCCTGCCGTGTCCCAGCCTTCTGCTCCAACTGCAGCCCTTGTAGCTATGCAGGGACTTGCATTGAGCTAGGCAAAGCCCAGCAGGAAACAGTCTGCGAAAGAGGGGGTGGACCGTGGATAAGGCCAAGATAAATTGACTCAAGCCATATGTGGTGGAAAAGTGTCTTGGGCATATTGGACCCCTGTGTCTCCATAGCCAATGAGTTAAAAACAGTGGGAGGGCAATTTAATGGGATCTTGGGGCTGATAGCTCGTGCCCCCCCCCCCATGTAACTACCTTGCAACTCCCTGAGGGATCCCACAATCTCATTTCGAGAACCCCCTGCCACAGTGCATACAAATGGCTGTTTGCTTTAGAACAGCCAGATCCAGGCACTGGTGTCTGGCACATGATGGTGCGTTAGCCAGGAGGCTAGAAGGGCCCAGATGGGGAGTAGGATGCTCTCCAGCAAGCCTAGTTCTCAGGGCGGGTGGGCAGACTGTTCGGAGCTGTATCCTATCGCATGATGTTTTGCGTTAGGCCTTGGAGCTTAATGCACAGTGCCTGGCATGGTGCTACAGCTCTCAGCTGGGTGTTCGAGCTACGGACTCTGCTCATGGTTCCTCTGTGGCTGCAGATCCCGGCTCCCACAGTTGTTTGCCTCCATCTCCAGTCCCAAGTGTAGGTCATGACTCTTGTTGTCTTGGGGTGGTGTCCGAGACCAGCGTTGGTTTCGCTCCTGTAATTAGCTGGCAGCAAGACTGACACCTACACCGGAGGAGAATGCCACAGCACCTGAGCTCTGTCACCAGACCAGTCTCTTCCTGTCCATCCCAAACCTGTTCTCTTACATGCTCTGCCTGCTCCGCCCAGACTGACGAGTGCCGAGCTCTCCTGTATCCTCTGTGAAGCTGGGTTCGCGTCGCCTGATGCTAGTGGGGTGTGTGTGTGTGTGTGTGTGTGTGTGTGTGTGTGTGTGTGTTTCTCTTCTGCCTGCGAGCTGGCTAGAGGCCTGGCCCTCCTGCCCTGGTTGGGAGCTGATCCGTTGGTGTGTTTGCTGAGAGCAGCAGGTGCCTTTTCCTCAGCATGCTGCTTGTGGCACTTCGTGTGTAACAAACAGCTCGCTGTGAATGGCGTTTGCCTGGAGACCGAGCTCTTGCTGTGAACAAGCGTCCCTTGTTGCTGGGAGAGCTCCCTGCCGTACCCGGAGGTGGACTCTGCGGTGGAGACACCGGATTCCTGTTGTTTCCCTTTGAGGCCTTGGCTTGTCCTCTGCTGTCTGAGCGTGAGGCCAGGCTGGGAAGCTGGGTTGACACAATCTGCTGCCTTGGGCCTCACTCCCTCATCTCTTCCCAGTGATGATTTCACAAGACTTGGCGCTAAAGCAGTACGCGGTAGATGGGTGCCTCTGGTATCTGATCCACACTCCCCCCAACAGGAGAGGTTGGGGATTTTGGATCTGCAAGAGCATCCGCAAGCTTTGTTTGTTTGTTTGTAGGATTCCTTGGAAAAGAGGAATGACACCTCTCTCCGAGCAGCTGGGCGTACAGGCTGAGGGTGCAGCCCAGCCAAGAGGTAACAGCCGCCAACTCCTCCAATGTTGGGGTAGTCTCCACTGGAGGGTGTTGGTCAGCCTAGAGACTCACCTGCCTGGCTGTACAGTCTGTATCCAGGAAATATTTTCCCTCTGCCAATTAGGCTCTGCCCTGCCTATGAACTTGATGGCTCCTAATTCCTCCCCCTAATGCGCCAAATTAGTCTCCCCGCAGAGCTCGGCTCTTTCCACGAGTACGTCTTGCGATAAATGGAAACCAGGTAGGGAAATGTGTGGTCGCAGCGATCCTGGGATCGGCTTCAGAGGAGCTCTTCTACGATGGGCTTCTGGTTTTGGGAGCCGTGGGAGAAGCTCGTGGCAAAGACCGGAGGCAGCTGCAAGTTACCACAGAGCCTGTTCGTTTGCACCCGGAGTTCAGGCACCTGCCTGGATGGGGAAATGTGCCCCCTCCTCCCCCCTGTGATTCAGCTTGGGCATTGCAATTTCAGGTGTTTGATTCCACTTCATTTGCATCCCTCTTGGGGTCCTTCAGGGTCCTGGAACCTGTCAGTTGCTGAGTTCCAATTGCTGTTTATCAGAGGTGTGAGTGGAACCTTCCCTGTGGCCGGGGCAGAATGCTGGACTGGATTGCTAGATCCTGTTGCAAATAGGGATGTGAAAGGGTAACCGGTAAGCAGCACCCTAAATGGGTCGTGTCTATTGGTTCTGGTTCACCGGTAACCCGAACGGACTGATGCAACTTCCTTCCTGCCATGGGCAGGAGGCTGCTCTTGTCCACAGCAGCCTCTGTCTGCAACAGGCCCAGGCTCACCACAGACAGGGGCTGCTCCATCGGGCTGGGAACCAGGAGCCAATAGCAGCCCCAGCCCCCGTGCGGGGACTGGAAGCGGGAGCCCTGTGGGTGGGGGGCTGATTTAGCCGGGCTGGAGCAGTCTCCCTCCCGGATCCCACTTTTAGTCGGTTAAGCGATTACATGTTCGGTTAACCTAACGTTTAGCCGGTTACCTGGTTGATCGGGATTTTACATCCCCAATTGCAAGGCGCCTCTTGACTCTAAACTGTTGCTCTTCTTAACTTCCCTTCCTCCGCCAGGGGAGAAACCACCAAACAAAACATCCTCTTCTGTCTTTGCTTCCTAGCCAGTGTGATCCTCACCTCGCCTCTCTGCGATGGCTTCAGGAGGGGAGGAGCCGGCGGATGGCTCCCCTGACTGGGCAGGTGCCAGCCTGGATCTCGGCTCACCAGGCCTCGCCGAGGCCAGCGCTTCCATGCTGGACAGCGGAGAGGACTTTGAAGTCCTAGATGAGGAGGATGACGACGACTTGAGCGAGCTCCCCCCTTTGGAGGATATCGGGCCAGAAAAGGCCACACCAGCCAGAGATGATTCCCAAACGCCCGGATCAGAGCAAACCCCTGAGGAGGCCTCCAAGATGCCCCTGGCAGCTGATGAGTGGCTTGATGTTTTGGGTAAGATCCTGTGCATGGAGGTGCCGTACTGTTTCCTGTTGTTCCCTTTCTCCCTGCCTCCCAGCGAGGGCAAGCAGGCTGCAGTCCGGGATCCTATGTGCCCCCGGCAGCAGTTCTGGGGGTGCCACGGGGGTGTGGGAAGGGGGGCCCGAGGGTGTGGCAGATGCCTCGCTATGGAGTCTTTGGCCACTGGCCCACCAGTCTGTACCCAGCTTAGCAAGCAGCCTGTCACTGCTGTTTGATGACAGCATCTCCTGCGACTCAGGTGTGCGCTCATTCAACAGGGGGTTTTGGCCCAGCCCTCCTCGGTGTGTAGGCTGTCGGCTTGGATCGCTGCAGCATTCGGAAGGCACGAGTGCTCTTCAAGATGAAAAAGATCTGGGGACTGGCGGCTAATCCACTGGTCAAAAGGCACCACGTGGAGCAGCGAGGGTCTTACCTCTGCGCTAGGCTCTGGCGCGACGGCGGCTGGAATCCTGCGTCCAGCCGCGGTTCGAGGAGGACGTTGATACGCAGTAGGGCGTTGAGAACGAGGAAAGGGTTGGGCGCTGTGCCTCTCCGTGAGGGACTCGGCGCTCGGTCGGCCGAGCTGAACAAAGAGAAGGTTAAGGAATGACCTGGCCAGTCTAAGTCCCTACCTGCGAAACGAGCATGTAGCGATGGGCTCTTCGCTGCAGCAGGCAAGGGGACGACGTAACGCAGCCCAGTGGCTGGAAGTTGAAGCTAGACAAGTTAACTGCAAATAAGCCGCATGTTTTGAGCAACCAGAGTCATTAACTCGTTGACCGAGGTGGGGGAGGGGAGGAGTTCCTCGATCGCTGGTGATTTGCAAATCAAGATTGGAAGATTTTTCTGAAAGGTGCCTAGATTCCCAAGGCCAGAAACGTCCATTGTCTTCATTAGTCCAGTGGCAACCTGCCACCTGCATGGCCCATTAGGGTTTTATGGGCACGTCTGTTCTTACAAGAAGATGGGTTCTCCAGAGGTCGATCTAGCATGTCATTTAGCGGGTTTAGTATAGATCCGTAAATCCAACGCTAAGGGCAGCCCCCACCGGGAGTCCTCTTTCTGTGACGTCTAAGGGAAGCTGACGGGTGTTTGCTCCTGTTGGCCTCCCGCTGTGTGGATGCTGCCGTGGCTCGGCGTCAGGTAAGCCGACTCCAGCTGTGCATTTTGCCTAGCCGGGGTTGTGTACCTTAAGCCGACCTTTCTGGTTTAGTATAGACGAGGCCTGTGTGTAGCCCACGAGACATCTCATGCACAGGGTTGCCAGATCCTGCTAGAAGACATCTTGTTGACTGTTGCTCATGCACAGGGTTGCCAGGTTCTGCTGGTTTCTCTCCACATCGTGCAGTGTCACTAAAGCAACACGCATGTAAAGCCAGGGCACGTGAGGTGAGGGCACGCTGACCGGGAGAATCGGCATCCAATCCAAGCGCTGCCACGGTTCAGTCGGCACCGCCCACAAATCCTAGGTTAGCAAGCACAGGGGGCAAAACGGCCCTCTCCCGGGAGCCCGACTTGGTTACACCAATCTTGCAGCCCCCTGAGAGGGAGGCGGACCCCCCAGCAGCCTAGGTCAGAGTTTCTCAACCAGTGCTACTCCAACCCTTAGGGATACTTGAGCAAAGTCTGGGGGTCACAGCAACACGCTGAAATTTGGAGAAAACTGAATTTTTGTTTTACGTTTTACAGCGCTTGATTATTTTTGTACTTTTTACACCCAAAAATGTCGTCGCCCGACCGGCTACAATTAACTTGTTTAAACAAATGTGTTGCAATGGTCGACAAAAATGTTGTGTGTCTGCAAACTGTGGGTACTGAGGGTACTTTTTTTAAAGGGGGTACTTTATAAAAAAGGTTGAGAAACGCTGGCTGAGGTTGCCTATTGCGGATCTAGTCGGACCCCTTGCGAAGCATAGGCCAGCGACCTGCCGTCAATAGTTCCTAGAGCAGATCGGTTAGAGAAACAGTCAGTCTTAATGTAAAACGGGGCAGCGAGAGAGAATCCCTCGGTAAATTGTCCCAAGGGCTCAATATAAAGAGTGAGTCTAGAATGAACAAAGGGCAGGATTCTGGTGTCTGTAATCCAGGAGGTCAGACTGACTGATCACAACAGGCCTTTCTAGCCTGCCAACCTACAAAACGTTGAGCGAGACCCGGCCCCTGCCCCAAAGAGCCTTCAGTCCCCAAGGCTGTGAATCCAGGACTCTTCAGGGCCATCACGTTCTTGTCAACATGAAACAAGAGCGTGGCATCCGGCCCCTAGTGGGAACGTACCATCCTGGCTGCTGCTCTCTAGCTGTAAACCCAAGAGGCCAGGGACAGCATGAACTAAAACAGCCTTCCTCTCTCCTTGTGTTGTGTGGTGCTCCTGCTTCTGTCTGTCTGCGCAGGCAGTGGCTTGCTCAGGAAAAAGACCCTGGTGCCAGGTCACGGCGTGGAGAGCCGGCCACGCAAAGGCCAGGATGTCACCGTTCGCCTCAAGGTGATGCTGGAGGACGGCCACGTGGTGGAGGAGAATCCCAGCCTCTCCTTCACCGTGGGAGACTGTGATGTCATGCAGGTAGGGACGAGGGGGCTGAGGGCCCTGTGCCCAGGTGCTGGAGGTGTTTGGGGTGGGGGAGGAGCAGAAACTCGGCACAGCGGCTAACGGGGCTAGTGGAGCCCAGCCTGCTTGCAAAGCCTGGTTCGCGAATGCAAGAATGTTTGGGTTGGTCTGGTGTGGGTCGGATTGCTGCTTCCTCCGGTCCCAGCATCCTCTCTGCCCCCGGTGACTGCAGATGCCTGGTGCTCCGGGGAAGCTCTCACACCTGTGTATGGAGCAGTGCTGGGGAGTCGGGGGGGAGCGATCAAGGGAATTTCTTCTCTGAGACAGGCTGTTTCTTGCCTCTGAGCCTTGCCCTCTGCCGCATCTTAGGCCCAGCTGCAGCGTGGCTCTGTAGATTGGCAGTGGGCCTCGTTCTCTAAGACGGGGGAGGGAACCTCAGGTCTGGGGGCCAGATGCGGCCCCTGGCTTGCCTAGATCCGGCCTCTGAGACTCATAGTCCCCCTCCCCCAGCACTGGGGAGCCCACGCTGGTGTTGCAACCCCCTCCACTGCCTCACCGCAGGGCTGGTGTGCACAATATCTGTTAGGTTTCCTGTGGGTCAGTGGCCCTCACCCAGACAAGGTCCCCCCACCCCTGCTGTAAGAACTCGGGGGGAGAGAGGAGGCGGGACAGGGAAGCCTTTCAGAGCTTTCTTCACCTGCCTGGGCAGCAGAGCTCCCTGACTGACCGGCACTCTAAGTACTGGGACCCCCTGCTCTGTCCCTGCATTGTGCTGTGCTCCCTCTGGTTTGCCTGGTGGCCCGACGGCCACTGCGAGCTGCTCCTGTGCTGCTCGGGTGCCCTGTCCGGCAGCACGGCCCCACTGCCCCTGCAGCAGGAGCCCGAGTCTGGCTCTGGGATTGGAATCCATGTGGCGAGGGCCCTCGGCTGACCTCCCTCTCCGCTCTGGGTGCCTGCAGGCCCTAGACCTGTGCGCGCAGCTGCTGGAAATGGGAGAAACCGCCTTGATCGTGTCGGATGCCAAGTACTGCTACGGCCCGCAGGGCAGGTGAGTGGGGTCCCGGAGCCCTGCCGGGAGCGTAGTTGTAGCCGGATGAAAGCGGGGAAGGATCCTTGGGGAGGAGACTCCCTGAGGGCATCCCCCTGGCCTGCAGCGCTGAGGCCGAAGGCTGGAGCCTCTGCCTGGGGGAGAGCGAGATGAAGTGTTGGGCTTGGTCCTCGTTGTGTCCCCAGCCCAGTTGGCCACCTAGCCGCAGTCCCAGTCAATAAGCCCAGGTGTCGGCGGGCCCCACTGTCCCGGTGGGGTTTCTCCAGGGCTGGAGTGAGGCTCAGCTGGCAGCCTCGCGTACACCAGCCGGCCCCTTTCCCCGGCACGCAGTGGGTGGGGAGGGCCAGTAGACGGAGCCG